CATGTCAAACTGGCACAATGAGACCATAACAAAAAACAACCAGGAGGGGCTGAAGAAGGAAAATAGCTTCACCTATAAAGAACTCCTGCAAAAGAATATGAAAAAGACAGATACTCCAAGAAGAATGAAACAAGAGGCCAGAACAGGCTTTCGTAAAGAGGCTGTCCACGCAGCCAATAAAAACTCAAAGAGGTGCTCAACTTCATCAGTCATTAGGGAAATGCAAATTGAAACCACAGGTGATACCACTTCACACTTACCAGAATGACTATGATTAAAGACAGGGAAAATATCAAGTGTTGGTAAGTAGTAGAGCGGGGATACTTCTGGTGGGAGCGTAAAACAGTAAGACACACTGGCAAGCTGTTTGGCAATATCTACTAGAAATGAACATAAGTACACACTGTGACCTAGCAATCCCACTTCTGGATACACATGCAACACAAAAATGTACACATATTTACCAAAAGACTGTTACTGCGGCATTCTCAGTAACAATCACAAACTGCAAACAATTAAAAGAATGTATCAATATGGACAGCAGAACTGATGAGGAAATGGGCTGTCCGCATACAGAACACAACATTGCAATGAGAAAGGAGAACTGCAGCCACACACAACAATACGGGCGAATCTCAGAGCCAGTGCTAAGCAAGAGGAACCTTAGACAAGAGCCGGCTCAGAGCGGCTACCCTTCAGAGGAGGCAGGGACTGCGAGGGACACGAGGGGGCTGAGTGATCTGGAAAGGTTTTTCTTCTTCTGGATGCTGTCTACATGGGTGTGCTCACGATTTGAAAAATTTTTACTTGGACATTCTAATTTGTCCCATTTTCTGTGTTTATCTTATGCAATAGAAAGATAGCAAGAGACTAAAAGGGGTCCCAGAGGTCCTAGCTCCCTGGTCACCCTTCACATCTCCCAGCTCCGGTGGGTTTCCTAGCTTCTGACTGCAGGTACTGTTGACGTCAAATAAGCCTAAGAGGATTTCCTTCCCAGACACTTCAGCAAGAAGGGCTTCCCTCTTTCCTCATCATCTATTTGGAAAAGGCCAAAAACTCTGGAGATTCAGAGGCTCTGGGAAAGCGAAAAGTTTTTCCTATTAATAACATCCCTACCAAGTGACAGTTCTCACTTGGAGCTTGCATACCCCCTGGTGGAGGAGGCTCGCCACCTTGGAGAAAGCTCCACTAGGGCAAGTTCTTCCTTGCTCTGAGTCTCAGGTAACTCTTAGTAACTCACGGTTTCAGCTCTTGCCTCTAAACTTCCTGGAGTTAACGTTATCCACTACTCATTTGACAACAAAAGAGGAAAAAGAAATACACTTACCGTCTGACCTGGACGTATTTAACTATCAGTCGTCTGCTTGCACTTGTCATTGCAAAAACCAGAGACACTTCACACATGACTGTTAAAATCACCTGTTATGAGCAAACTAAAGTTCTTTTTCACAGACAAATTAATCCTAATAAATCAGACACTGCCATTCCGCAAACCATAATGAAATAATTTACTGAAGCAAAGAGGCTCTGAGGATGAACCATTAGATGAAAGGTGGATGAGCATCTTCTCAATGAGGGGACCAGGCTATTAGCACCTAACATCATTAATGGGAGCAACATAACACGTGTGCTCACTGGCGTGATGCGCTAGGAAGCACCTGTACCGCCTGGGAGGTATTCACCCTGCTCCACTTCCCCTCCAACAAAGTTGAAGCTGAATCTAGGAAAGATTTTAAAGCAATTTCTAATTGACAAGAAATACAGGTCACAGGGAGCTCTGGTTTTCCTACTAACGCAAAGTGGGGGGCCTGACAGTTTATATCCATCAGTGACTCCAAGGGAGAAAGACGGACAATCTCCTGTATGACTTACAGCCTCCGAAAACCTGCTGAAGTTCACCTATGAATTGGTTACAACTGGACAGCAATGAGTGAGAGACAGGTTATAGAGAACAATTTAAACGATGCCACAAGGAAGTAAACAAATTCAGAATGTGTACATTCCACAGAACAAGTGATTTTTAAAAGTGGCATTACAAAAAGGGCATTCTTATATGATGCACACATTTAGCAACTCCTCAAATTGTACATTTAAGAGCTGTACATTTCACTGCAGACAAAATTTACCTCAGGTTTTTTCTGTTGTTTGGTTTTATTTTTAAGAGAGTTTGGATAAAAAACAGTATATATGAACTTTATAAATAAAGTGGTATAAAATTGAAAAAAAAAGTTTAGAGATACAATGTTGTTGTTGTTGTTGTTATGTGCCATTGAGTCGCTTGCGATTCATAGTGACCCTATGTACAACAGCCCTAAACTCTTCTCCGTCCCGTACCAATCGCACTGTCTCCAACACACCCGTCCCAATTACCCCAATCACTGAATCAATCCACCTCATAGGGGGCCTTCCCCTTCTGCGCTGTCCCTCCACCCTCCCAAGCATGATGTCCCTCTCCAAGGACTGGTCCCTCCTTGCAACATGTCCAAAGTATTTTAGACAGAGCCTCAGAATCCTTGCCTCCAAGGAGCTGCCCGGTTTAACCCTTTCCAGGATGAATCTGTTTGTTTTCCTAGCAGTCCATGGTACCCTCAATACAATACTATATTAAATGTGTAGGCTTGGAGGGGTGCTAATATAAACCAAGGGTAAAAACATTTTGAAGACAATGGAGAATGTGGGTCTATAGTTGACAATAAGTAATGGTTAATTTTGTTAGTTGTTATGAAAGAAAATGTTTACCTTTTAGAAAGTTGCAGACAAATGATATAATGTCTGAGACATGCTTTAAAATGTTTCAGTTATAGACATGTACAGACCAACTGGCATATGCAATCTCCCTTCAAATGCATCAGCAAAATAAAAAATATTTATATATATATATATATATATAGAGAGAGAGAGAGAGAGAGAGAGAGAGACAGACAGACAGACGTGGTAAATGAGGGAGACTATTAAGATTTGATGAATCCAGAAGATTGTACTATTAGCTTTTCTGTAGGTTTGAACTTTCTCTTCAGCAAAAAGTGGGGGAAAGTCTTAACTCAGCAATAACAAACGTGGGGAGGAGGAGAGGAAGAATGAAACAACTATGCTCAAAATCTTGACAATTTTCAAATCTGGGTGACAGGTACAGGGTATCCATTATACTATTCTTGATGGTTTTACAGGTATTTAAAATTTTCAATAAGAAAATATTCTGAGAGGAATCCATGGCACTACTATGGTCCTCATTACCCCCTTAATGTCTGTGTGGCATTTACAAGACTGCATGCACCAGGATCTCCCAGGCTCAGAGCCTCACTTTATACAACCACCCTGTGAGGTGGCAGCTCTTGTTATTCTGAGTTTGCCAATGAGGAACTGGCTCAGAGAGAGATAACAACCTCACACAGCTGGACGAAAAAGTTAGGACGTGGATACAGGTACTTGGATTCTATACCCTATATTCTTTTTCATTCTTCACTAAAAAAAAAAATCATATATATATAGTGAAAATAAAAACAACAAAACATACCAAACTGATAATTTCTACATGTGTAAGCCAGTGATACTGACTAACCGTTTTCAAGTTATGCTACAATTCCTAGTATTGCTTTCAAAATTACTCCACCACCATTAAACATAAATTCAATGCTTGGGGATTGAAATGAAAGTTTCCCATTTCCAACTCCATTCCACCCCCTTCTTCCCCCCAACCCCAGTAACCACTAGTCATTTTTGGTTTCTATATGTTTGCTTTTTCCCCCCCATAAATGAGATCATACAGTATTTGTCCTTTTGTGACTAACTTCATTCGGCATGATGCTTGGAAGGTTCATCCATGCTGTGGCATGTATCAGTCAGGGCTTGCATTCTTAACCCCTACACTGTCTGACTAAAAGAGCTTAAGACATGTCCTCATACAGAGAGAAATGTGTCCTAACCACCTGTTTGTGGTTTAAATACAGATATACCTCAGCAATATGAAGGGTTTGGTTCCAGACCATAGCAATAAAGCTGCTATGGTAACAAAATGAGTCACACGAGATTTAGCTCTTAGTGCATATAAAAGGTTATGATTGCCTATGCTGTAGTCTATTAAATGTGCAACAGCATTATGAAAAAGTTTTAGATATTGTAAGAATGACCAACATGTGACACAGAGACACAAAGTGAGCACATGTTATTGGGAGAAAACAGTGCTGACAGAGCTGCTTAATATAGGATTGCCACAAATCTTCAATTTACATAACAATAAAAAAATTTAAAAGGCAGTATTTGCGAAGCACATTAAAACGAGGTATGCCAGTACACTGTAAATAAAGGACATCTCTACCTCCTTTCAGTGCTCCTGGCTTTGGTCCAAGGGTGTCCAGTACTTACTTGCCTTGTATAATAAGGGTCAAGTTCCACTGCTTAGCCCTACACATCTTCAAAAGCAACTGCTGTGCTTCCAGCAGCTCTTCCACTGCCCCAGTGAGTGGTAGAAGCTACAGTCCAATTCACCTCCTGCAAGTCCTTCTCTGTCACTCTGAGTTACTTTGTCACTCTCCAGCTCAAAAACCACCACAGCTCCCTCTCCCAAATGCCATGGAGCCTGGCATTCTGGCTCCACACCTCCTGTGCTGTGTGATCTTGGGTAAGTAACCTCATCTCTCTGAGCCTGTCTTGTTATCTGAAAAGGTGGGGCCAATAAAGCATTTTCTCATGGAATTGTTATGAAAATCAAGTGACAGAAAGGAGAAAGGTGCCCAGAATATAGAGTTATTACTTAATACACATTCTATTCCACTCTTTGGCCTCATTCATCCTTCCTCCTTCATTTCTTCTCTCTCCCTTCCTTCCAACCGTCCATCCACTCACACAAGTGCCTATCTGCTCACCTATTCGCCCTTCTATTCACTCATCTAGCCCCACGTGTTTGGCTGGGGACTCCTGCTGCCTTTACCAGCCCCTACTTCTCATGTTCACTGATGGAATAATCCCTGGCAGTGCCAGCTTTGTCACTGGTGCAGACTTACCCCCTGTGAGTGCAAATACTCCACAGTCTTGCTGATGGTGTGTAGGACGAAGCTAGCTTCCCTCTCTGAGAAGAATTTTTGTCGAAGGATCTTGTCCAGCAGCTCCCCGCCTCGCATCAGCTCTGTCACCAGATACACTTGCTTGCCGTCGTCATAAACCTGTCAGAGACATCACAGTCAGGCTCCCTGCAGAGCCAGACCCGGGCCCTGAGCTCACCTGCCCAGAATGCTGAGGCCACGGGTACACGTTCTGGTCTGTGCTTTAGTAACCCTGGCAGAGGTTTTCCTTCCTGGTTAGGGGATGCTGACACTGGCACTGGCCCCGCTAAAGACTCAGTCTGAGCTGAAAGGTCCTTGAAGGAAGAACAAGGACTCTCCTGCCCCTTCCCATGAGCTCTGAGGAGGATCTGGGGTACAGGGAATGGAGTCCTGAGACAAAATCCGAGGTGACGGAGGGCCCAGTCCCCACCTGGGACACAAAGACCTGCACTCACATCTTTTAAGGTGATGATGTTGGGGTGCTGTCCATACCGCAAAAGAATCTCAATCTCTTCTGAGGGGTCCCGCTTGCTCTTGTCAATGACCTGAGACAAAGGGAGTGCATGCGGCAGTGGCAGGGCAGACTCCAAAGTGCTCCCCTACCATGAAGTCTGCGCTGCAGGGCCACAAGGCCTTGGCTGCACACTTTACACCCATCCACACAGTGAGCCTTGGGCCCCCACCATCCCCACTAAAGTAGCTGGCTAGACTGGCTTCACCACCAGCCCCACAAGTGGCACATGCTGGGAAGGCTCACCTTGACAGCATACTCCATGTTGGTGGCCTTGTGCACACAGCGGTTGCACACAGAGTAGGAGCCCACACCAATCGTCTCTTTCACCACATAGCCATCACTAAACACCAGGTTCTTCCCATGGAGTTGCTGCAGGAGACCAAGCCTGGAGGTTGATGCCCCATTCTGTAATGCCAGGGGTCCTCGCTCCCAGCACCCAAGGTCTTGGCATAGTGGAAACGGGCAGATAAAAGCCAGGAGGCCTGGCTGTGTGACCTTAGGCAAGAATCAACCCCTCTGAGCCTCAGCTTTCTGTCCTATATATGGGGCAACCTCACTGCCTCACAGCCAGCCTGGGTTGCCACCTGTGGTGATGGGTTCTGGTAACAAAGCCACAAAGGATGGAGTCCAGGCTTGGGAGGGACACAGCAGCTCTGAGGTAGGTCCCAGCTCTACCACTTACTATGGCCCTGTCTGAGTTGCTCCCTCCTTTTAGGGAGTCACTGCCCACTTCACAGGGTGTCTCCAGATTCTGAGGCATTAAAAAAGCTAATGTTTATATATGGGCCTAGTGTATGTCACACCCTCTTCTAGGTACTTTTCATGAGTGGTCTCACATCTATGCCTGGTTTGGACAGCCCTGATTTAGATCTTCTATCCCAGGGGCCATCTGGTTTGACATCTGTCATAGTCAAAGACAATTTGGAGAACAAACCAGACAGCCATTTGAACTTTACACATATTAACTCATGAATTCCTTACAACAACTCCATGGAGAAAGGCTCTATTATCCCCATTTTACAGATGAGAAAAAAATGAAGCACTGAGATAGTAAGTGGCTCATCCAGAGTCCTCTATCTGGCAAGATTTGCCCCCATGGACCAGGTCCACAGTCTTCATTTTTGTCTCTCATTTCAAGTTTACCCAGGGAGTGGTCAAAGTATATAAGTGGGGACAAATGTGAGGAGACACAAGCCCCCTACCACTCCTGGCCCCTGCCATTTGCCTAGGCCCCACAATGCCCCTGGATCCATGCTAGCTTTATATCCACGTGATTATCTAGTCATCAGAATCATTGTATGAGGTAGACACTCTTGTCAGCTGTTTTAAAATCAGGGAAATGGGCTCAGAGAGGTTGGAGCATCTACTGGTCCCACAGGTGGTGGCTTCTCAGTAGGACACAACAGCTGAGTGGCGCCCTGGCCCCTCACCTGTACCACTGAGTGCAGCGGTGCCTGCATGCTCCGAAGCTTGCCGTCGTCCTCCATCAAGCCGGTGGCCACAAAGCTGAAGCCACGGAACAGCTGATGGGCACCTGCACTGGGAGGGATGCCCGGGGAGTCTGCAGGGAAGGGAAAGAGATGGGAGCATGAGAGGATGTTCTGTGCCAAAGGCAGTCCAGTAAAGAGCTGTGGGGGGACCTTGGGCAAGGCCTGTCTGTACAATAAGCCAGTCCAGCGCTGACACACTAGCACGTGACACTCTCACATCTGGCTCCCACTCAAGCCCAAACACTGCTGGAGCCTCCTCTCTGGCCACCTCACCACAAGTGAACTGTCCCTTCAGATCCATCCTCTGTGGAGCAGCCAAAAGGATGGTTCCAACCACAAATCTGTCCACACTTGTTGGGGCAGTCAAGGTCCTTGTGATTTGGCCCCTGCTGACCTCTCAGAACTTGCTTCCTGCCCCCATCTCAGCTACCTTGACTTCTCAGTTCCTTTCAGGAAGGAGTCACTGAGGCACACTGCACATGCTGTTCCTATTAACTAGATAATAGTCCACCTAGCTGCCAACGCAAAGGCATGCAGTTCAAATCCACCAGCTGCTCCACAGAAGAAGGATAGGCAGTCTCCTCCTATGTGAGTTACTGCTTCTGAAAACCACTGGAGGGTCAGCTATGGGTCAGTTCCAACTCAATGGTACTCAGCAACAACAAAGTCCATCCCCCATGGCTCAGCAGATATCTGTCCCCTGAGAAGCCTTTCCATCAGAGGCCGCTCCTCTGCCCCTCTCCTCTCTGGAGTTAGTTCCACGGTGGATCCTTGTTCTCATTGGCACTGTTCTCATGCTCTACTAATGCACTGCAGCCCGGGGCCATAGGAAGGCAGGTCTAGATCTGTCCCTTTCCCCACCTATCTCCTCACACCTGGCACACAGGAACGTGCATATCTTACATAAATGAATAAGGATGAGACAGACTGCTTGAGCACTGCTGAGCTCCCTGTAACCCAAGATGTGCAAGTGACACTGTGCAAGACACTCTGAAACAGCACAGCATCTGACAAAATCTGCCGCTCCCTGAACTGACACCAAAGCCAGTTTAAAAAGTTAGGATTTACCAAGCTCCTCTTCACTGGCTTCACACAACAACTTCAGGAAATGAGCAACACTGTGGCTATACCTATAGTCCAGATGAGGCCATTGTGGCCCAGGAGTCAGACCAGCCAATGCCCTTTCCTACGCTTGTCTCTGACTTTTGGACACTGTCACCTCTGCCCTCCAGACTGCCAGACTCTCTTCACCACGTGGTTTTGCTGGGTCAGATTCTTTAGCCCTGACGTGTGAGCCTGATATGTTTGGTCTTCCCAGTGGGTTGAAGGATGCCCAGGGCAGGGGTCCTGATTTTTCTATTATGGCCTCACCCACTCACTCACCCCTACTCCCTCACTCGGACTCTGACACAAAGAGGCTCACACAGCCCCAGAGTGGGAAAGTCTGGCAGAGAGACCAGGACAAAGAGTAGAGTCCCACAGAGCTAGAATCTCACCCGCCTGCTGCCCACACACCTGGGTCTGCCAGTCTCTTTACCAGCCCTGCATCCCAAGGTGCCCCAGATGCCCTGCCTTCCCCTGTACCAGCCCCAGACAAACAAATCCAGATAAGGGACACACCCCTTGGCGTGCGAGATGTGAACTCCGTGTCAAAGTAGAAAGTGTCATCGGGTTGAGCTACAGCTGGCTTAAATGGTGGCTTGATCTCGCGACGGTATAGCTTCTGCAAGGCAGGAGATTTCAGGTCACCTTGGGCCCCTGACAGCCTGCCAGGAGCCCATGCAGGAGGAAGTAAAAGATCAAGAGCACAGGCTACAATGCCCAGCAGACAAAGGCATACACTGTGCCCTCTAGGAGGCCAGCTCTTGACTCCAGGGCCATTCTGTCACATACTGCACCAGTAGCCAAAGCTCTAATTAGCAAAACACCCCTCTCATCAACATGCTTGATCCCACTGAAGCCCTGGTCAGTGGCGCAGGGACACACTCACGTTCCAGTCAATGGTGGAGTAGAAGACGTGCCGCTTGATCTCCTCTGCACCATCAGGGCCGGAGCCTGAAAGAGTTTGCATGAGGGGCGTGCTCACTGACAGCTCTCAGACGCCACACTGCCTGCCAAGTGGCCTCAAGGTGGGCTTTTGCTGAGGAAGGAAGGGACTGCCCACCCTAAACCCACTGCCCAAGCACTGTTACCTCGCCCAGAGTAGCTGGACAATTTTTCTAAAGCCACACAGTCAGGACAGAGGCTAGACTTTTCCTGGGATTGCCAGAGATTTCTCCATACCTCACCCAACCCCACAGCCTTATCACGGTTCCTTCTGCCCCATCACACTTGTAACCATAATACAAGCTCTCACTCTATTCAATCTCAGGGACCTGGACTAGGCCTTACAAATCAAGTCACAGGCAAGGTGAACCCAGGATCCAAAGGAGTCAGTAGCTAGTAAGCACCTGTGAAATGCTAGGCACATTCACTAGTTTCTTATTATCGACACAGCCCTGTGAGCGTGCTCAGGACCAGCATCTCCAATTGAAACACAGAGGTTAAGGATGAGGGAGGGGAGTCCCTGGCCTTCAATGACATTCATTCAGAAACTCAAGTGAGTGAGTTCGTAAGTGGTATTCACTCAGCTGACACATATTTCTGGAGGGCCTACTGTGTGCCAGCCAGTGGGCCACAACTGGGACCTGGGCCTCCTGACTCCTGAGCTCACTGCATTTCTCTTGCACGTTTGGCAGAGAAGCTGTGTGGGGGCCTCTGTCCTTGTCCCCAGGGGCAGGAGGGATGACTCAGTTCCTGCCTTCCCCCACACACAGGTCACCCCCCCAACTCCACACACGGAGCCAGAAAGCAGGGTGGCCAGTGGCATTGTCTACCCACACAAAGGACAACGGCCCCTTTCAGCCCCAGATGCGGCCCCATGGCTGAGCCTGCAGCTGTACCCTACTGCTCACCACGTCACCTCCCTTGAGCTGGGGCTGCTTACCGAGCCGGTTGGCAGGATTCCGCTTGAACAAGGCCCGCAGGAGGCTCTGGGCTTCAGTGCTCAGAAACTGGGGCATGCCTAGCTTCGCCCTGAAACAGCCGTGGATCATATGAGGGTTGAGCCCCGCCTCAGAAGCCCCATCTCCCCTCCATCTCTGTCCAGGTCTAGTCTCCAGCTCAATCCAGACAAAGATCTACTAACTCACCTCCCAAAACTTCAGGAATCCCCACCCACAGGTCTGGTGGAAGAAAAGGGGGCCCTGAAAAGCATGATGATAAACCCAGAGGAGGTTTCACTAATGAAGTGACCTGAGGCAGGTGTAAGGTACGGCCCTATCCTAACTGGGGTGGAAAGGAGACCTCGAGGTGTCAGGGAAGGCTGGTGCTTACTTCAGAATCATTGTCATGGTCTCCTTCCGGTCCTTCCCCTGGAAGGGCAGGGAGCCCGTCAGCATCTCAAACTGTCAAAGATAAGGATCTATTCAGGCTCCTGTCCCTGCTGCTCAGTTGTTGGCTGCCTTTCTTGTAAGGTCATTTTGCTCCATTTCTAGGTTTCTTGCTGGCCTTCTGGAGAAAGAGCTCACCCAGAGCTAAAGATGTATCTGTCCTGCTACCTCTGCCAACCTAGACCAGAAGGAGCAGCACCAGGGGTCCCAGGCTGACGAACAGGCCAGTCTCAGGTCAAGGGCATACTAGGTGGAGCCAGGCATGGGTGTGAGAGGAGAGGGGAGTGCCTGAGAGATCAGCAACTCCCTCACTGTACTTATGTGGGTAAACTGAGACTCAAGGCTGATCTGGAACCTTCATCTCTGTCCACATGCTCACCATCAACACCCCATAGGACCACCAGTCTGCACTGTGGGTGTGGCCCTGACGGTTGACGACCTCAGGGGCCATGTACTCTACTGTCCCGCAGAAGGAGTAGGCCTTCTTCTCATGGTCAATGGCCTCCTTGCTCAGGCCAAAGTCTGTCAAGGAAAGCAAGAGGATACATCTTCAGGGATCGCTGCCAGATATCATCCACCCCACTCCCAGCACCAGAGGCATGAGGACATCATCCATGACAATCAGGAGGCTCAGGTACAGAGAGGTTAGGCAACTTGCCCAAGGATACACAGAAAGCCAGGCTGTGCCAAGTCTGGGGCCTGGGCTTGTAACCACTTTCCAGTTTCCGGCATAGCCTCTCAGAGGGAAAAATACCTTGCTCTCTGCCCAGGTTTACCAGAGTCCATTCTGCCCTCCCTCTGGGACCCAAGGACAGCTGGCTTCTGCTCACCAGTTAGTTTAATGTGGCCCTCTTCATCCAAAAGGATGCTGCAATGGAGATGAGAGTTAGGAATCGTAGCTGCAGCCCTTCAGCAGGTTCTGGCGACACCACTGGGGCTGTGTAGGCACAGAAGGTGCCTGTCCAGATCTATCTCATGAGCACGGGGAGTTGGGAGCAGCCCCACCTTGTTGTAAGACTACATAATCAATGCCATTGTTATATGCCTTCAAGTTGGAACAAACTTATAACGAACCCTCCAGTGGGTTTTCAGGGGCAGCAAATCACATGAGAAAAGATTGTTCATCTTCCTCCCACAGAGCCACTGGCAGATTTGAACTGCATGCCTTTGGGATAGCAGCACAACTCCTTACTGCCAAGCCACCAGAGCTCCCTATGAAATCACTAATGATGTTATTATCAAGTGTTTTGCAAGTGTCTTTGAAATGACAATATAAGATAGGTACTAATATGGTCCAATTTTAACAACAAGAAAACTAAGGTTCAGGGAAGCGACGTAACTCCTCACAGTCCTAAGAGTGATTAGGATTTTAATTCAAGTCTGCTTAACTCCAACGTCAGATCTCATTCCACCTGGGAGCTCCTGGCTCCCAAGCTTTCATCTAAGAGTGTTTATATGTTATCAACACCTATATTCATAGCAGTGTTACTCACAATAGGAAGAAAATTAAAATAGTCCCAAACCCCATCAATAAACAAATGGACTGGGAAATTGTGATACATTCACAGTGGAAAACTATGCAGCACTAAGGAACAATGATTTCATAAAATAGCCTATTGACATGAGAGAGTCTAGAGAACATTATGCTGAGTGAAATAACTCAGCCACATAAGGACAAATACAACATAAGACCACTATTGTGAAAACAGGAGGATAACTGAGCAAGGGATGTATAAATGTTCAAAAGTGGAACGAGAAAGGGAGAAGGAGGGTGAGAAAAAGAGGAGGGGAGAAAATCACTGGGATAGCAGAGGTTACCAGGTACATGGGGGTAAAGGAATAAGAAAGATTCAATGGGGACTTGAAGAGAAGGGTGATGATAGGCATAGATCAATATGACTGTATAAAACCAATATACAGAAAACAGTGTAGATGACTATATACAAATTTTTTAAATATATAAATATTTTTTAAAAGGGTATTCAGATATTAAGGAAAAAATATAGAGAGGGTCATATTTAACCAAAGAAGTGAACCTTAATGGTAGATTTTTTTTAAATCCAGATGTCACACTGGAGTACCACGATAGGACTAGTGATTAGGAGCCACATCCCCCGAGGTGAGCCTGCTGCCACCACTCTCTTCTATCTATCCACCTATTGAGCACCCCAAAAGCAGGGGACACTCTTGGAAAGAGTCACAGCCACCTCCATCAGAGCAGCCTGGCTGAGAAGAGGCCCCAGGTTCTGCCTTTGCAATCCCCAGGGTTGATAGGGACTCACTCACTTCTCAGGCTTGAGGTCTCTATAGATGATGCCAAGACTGTGCAGGTGGTCCAGGCCCAAAGCCAGCTCAGCCAGGTAGAATTTCACATCCTCCTCTGTGAACATAACCTGTGGGAGGCAGGAGAGGGCTTCAGATGAGACCACCATTTTCCTCAGGAGATACATTATGTAGTCAGCTGCTTGAGGGAGGGCCCTTGGGAGCCCAGTGCTATATCTCCTCCTCTTTACAAAAGGGTTCTGAAGAATAAAATGATTCATATATAAGTCATCCACTGTGACACTGTTTGGAATAGCAAAATGACAACAGCCCAACAGGCCAGTAGTAGAAGACTAGAATAAACTGTCTCTCTCCTACATAACCATAAATTAGAACTTCCTATTTGTTCTGATATGGAATGTTCTCCAATATACACACTGTCAAGGAGGGGAAAACAAAACAAGGTATAGAGCAATATACACAGAATGACACTTTTTTATGCAAGAATGTGTAGGTCAGAATTCAGAACATATATCAGATTTGTTTGTATTTGCCAAATAAACATGGGAAGGTTAAACAAGAATCTAATAAAACTGTTTACCTAGGCAGGAAGGGTACAGAGGGCTGAGATAGAAGCAAGAATTCTCAGTGAGTACTTTTCTTTTGAATCACATAACTATATCACCTATTCAAGTATTAAAAGAAATTTTGAAACTTGAAAGAAAAAAATCCTGGCTTTCTTTAATGTTTGAGTGTATTAAGGGTCTCATTTTTATATTAGACTCAAACCCCTTTATATTATTTCAAAATTCCTTTGGTAAACACACAAGACAACAATGTTAAAGTTTCAGGGAGCTCTGGTAGCTTAGTGATCAGGAACTGCACTGTCAATGCAAAGAATGTTAAAACTTCTAGCTTTCTAGATGGAATTGGACTTCTCCCTCATTCTCACGTTCCTGCCCAGGACAGTATGGGAAAATGGATGGGGAAAGATGCTAGTGCCCTTGGCTTCCAGGGCAGTACCAGAATCCCAGGCATGACCCTCCACAGTCCATTGTGAGAGAACTCTCAAAGGCTGTGCCAAGGTTCTGTCTCAAGGTTGGTGGTACTTCTGGGGTAATGGGCTGCTAGGCAAACCTAGGTGGTAGTAGATCCCAGTCATATTGCGTTGGGTCCTGGGAGGGGGGAGGTCTTATTCTCCCTGCAGCTCCATCCTAGACTCCTCTGGCAGTGGGATTCAGCTCACCTCCTTAGACAGCCGTGTGAAGAGGTCCCCACCACGCAGGAAGTCCAGAATGAGATAAAGCTTGCCCTCGGTCTGGAAAGCTGGGAAGAGGGGAAAAGACAATGGTAGAGCCAGCCAGGCCCTAGGACCTACTCCCCTTTCTGCCCTCCCTGCTCTCTTGGCCTGATAGCAACAAGGTATAAGGAAGGCAACAGCCCAGAGGCAAGGGTGAAGCCTGGTGGGCAGGGTGGGCAGCTGGGGGTCTGTGGTCTTACCATAGTGCAGCTTTACTACAAATGGGTGGTTGACGTCAGCTAGGATGTCTCTCTCCATCTTGGTCCGGAGGCGGTCACGCACTGGTCAGAGAAAGAGTCATGCCAGAGGTCTCTTAATAGCCTAGCCCCCCAAGACAGCTACTCTTCAAAGTCTGGCTAAGAAGAGTCTGCCTTCCCACTTGTACCTCTAGCCCTGGCTCAAGGTGCACCTTCACCAGGGCTTTGAAGTTGCTTTGGGGACATTTTATAATCAGGTTTCTCCCCTCTTGCTCAATCTGTTTCTGGCTGCTCACCCTGCTCCTGGCCCCCTGCCCATCTCTTTAGTCTTTTTTCCCACCACACCCCAACAGGGCCGTTCAACCCAGCTAGTCCTAACTAGGTCCCCTCTCAAATCCCTAGGCTTCTGCCTCTGAAGCGCTCCCTGGGAAACCATACCTAACTCTCTTTTCTGACTTAACAATTCTCAAATTCCTGTCTACAGGCTGCAAAAGCCACCTGGAAAGTTGTGTGCTGTAGTGGGTCTACTGTTCAAAATGGATTTCCTACACCATTGCCTTTGACTTTGCCACATGGCTGGGTGGAAACATGCAAATAGGATGTGTTAGTCTATCTTCAAGAGGACTGGCTAGTTACCCCACTCTCCCAGGTTTAAATTGAGCACATTCAGCAGCAGAAATTTGGAAATCTCACTACTAACAGGCAACAGAGAATACAGTATGTTGAACCCTTGGGGCCAGATTCCTGCACCATTAAGACCAGGGCCTACAAGGAAGCAACTGCAGCTGCAGTCAAGAACCAGACACACAACATAAGACAGAGGTGACCTAGGACTGCTGTTCAGAATCAGGGGTCCAAGTTTGTTGGAGGACTGGGGGGAAGATGCCAGACTGGGTAGAGCACTTTGTAACATTGGCCTAAAACCACAAGGCTGAAGCCTGAAAGGCCTGTGAACATGTTTCAGAAGCTGTCCTGGCTGAGAAACTGTACCTGACTGCCAACCTGAGTTGTACCCTGTTAACTTCCCTAGTAAACTCCATAATCATGAGTATGGTTCTCTGGAGTCTGTGGAGCTATTGCAATGGATTTCAGACCCAATAGAGCAACTGGACTGGTATTAGATTTAGTGGAAGTAGGTTCAGGAGGTCTGGCATCCTAGTGGTAAGGAAATGCATTGCCAACCTGAAGGCATGCAGTTCGAATCTAACAGCTGCTCTGTGGGAGAAAGATGGGCAATCTCTTCCCATGCAATTGTACTGTCTCTGAAAACCTACTGACTGAAGGGTCAGCTATTTGTTGGGCGGTAGAGTGCATGTCTGACCTCAAAGGAATTGTTTTGTACTGTGGATGCTCTTGATGGGGACAGGAGTTAGTAGAGGTCAGATATGGCTGTCCCCATGCCACCTTCAACTTTTTTTAGAAGTTGGTTAGAAATACAGAGTTCCTGGGAAACCCTATGCACAACAGCTCTGAATTCTGTCCTATCCTAAACCAATCTCACTGTCGGTAATACATCCACCCCTACTACCCCAGTCACTGGGTCCACCCATCTCATTTAGGGTCTTCCTCCTCCAAAATGCCTTTCTTAATCTCCCAAGCTTGGTCAAGGCCTCTAGTGCTTCCCCTTTGAAGTACTTTCACCTTCTATTCTCATTTTTGTTTCCTTCACAACACATGGCAGGGACCATTCTGCTGTTGACTATACTACCCACTGTTTCCCAAATGAATCTTGCATTTTTCTGCCTCTGCACTTCTGCTCAGGCTGTTTCTCCTTCCCTGAGTACACTTCCTCTATCATTTTCTGTCTGGAGAACTCCTAAATTGCCCTTCAAAGAATAATGTAAATGATTACTCCTTAGGTGTACCCAGACCTCTGAGCCTTCCTTCTCCAGAGTGCAGTCCACCCTCCTCTGGGCATCCCCACCCACCTAGATATGTACCCTGTTGTCATAGCACTGTCTGCACCCACCCAGTGTATAGATGGCCTCTACTCTCTCAGCCAGGGCGACTTTCCTATCAAGACCAAGTTTTATCGTTCCCTTTCCCTGTGGCTCACGATTCCTCCTAGAGAATGACTTCCATTCCTAACCTAGGCTGGCCCAGGGCCACCAATGCTACAATTACCCTACAGAGATAGCTCTTTATTGGCCACATGACCCATAATATCCCTGAGGCCTCCTCTTGTCCCCACTTCACCTGGTCTTGGCTGCACTGATTCCCAAGACAATCAAAGAGTCAATATTGAAAGTTTTCTACCAACCATCCATATACGTCTCCTGTCGTTAGTATGTTAGACCCTGGCTCATGCTCCCTCTAAATTTCTTTTTTTTTTTAAACTTTATTTTATTTTATTATTATTTTGTGTGTTTGTACTGTCAAATCGGATCTGACTGGTACAGGAGGAGATTGCCCCTCCTTCTCCAGCAGAGCATCTGGTGGATTCAAATTACATACCTTTGGGATTGCAGTGCAGCTTCTTGCCACTAGGCCACCAGAGCTCCCTTAAATTTATTATTATTATTATTATTAATTATTATTATTATTATTATTAGTGTGTGTGTGTGTGTGTGCCATCAAATTGGACTTGACCGGTACAGGAGGAGATTGTCCCTCCTCCAGCATGGCATCTGGTGGATTAGAACTGTGCTCCTTTGGGATTGTAGTGCAGCTTCCTGCCACTAGGCCACCAGAGTTTCCTGCTCCCTCTAAATTTCTGTGCCATCTACTTCCTCAGCCCTGTCTTGGTCTTGCCTTCTCCTCCCTGGTCCAGCTGCCTCCTTGGGTTCCTGCCTCTTTTCTCATGCCTCTTTCCACCCTAAGCCAATGAAGGCCATAGTGATATCCTCAGACTTTGTGTCATGAAGCAACTAAACACCTCTGCCCACCTTGCCTGATCCCTCATATATGAGGGCTCCTTCCCTCACCACAATGCACTGTCTGGTTCCACTGCCTTCTTCCCAGACAGACATTCATCTAGAAGGTGAGCACTTGCCTTCAGGAAAGCAGGTGGAGGGGTACAATCAATGCCTTGAAATTATTTCTCCTAAGCAGGTCTTGTCTTCCCCATCAGGTAGGGTAGGATGAGGGGCAGCAGGCCAGTTTCTCCCCATTCAGACTCGGTGCTACTAAGAATAGAGCTATCTTCCTCATCAGACCCAGGGCCCTTGAATACTGGGCTGTCTCCATAAGCCCTGTGCCCAGACTTGAGAAGCTGCTCCCCACTCACCTTTCAGTGTTGCTTTCTTCAGCACTTTCATAGCATACAAATGTCCGCTATCAGGTCGGGTGACCTTCCGCACCAGGAAGACCTGGGAGGGCAGTGGAGGAAAAGCCCATCAACTCTTACTCCCAATTTCTTGAACCTCAAGATGACCCCTCACCACTTTAACCAGAAGTAACTCCCCACACATGAGGCCCTGAAATGTGAGGCCTCACTTCCCACCTCTGCTACCAGCTGCAGGCTAAGAACTCACTTTGCCAAAGGATCCCTGGCCCAGAACCTTAAGGAGCTCAAAATGGGATGGGTCAGCCTTCTCAGAACCAGCCTTGACGTGGTGCGTGATGGAGATTTCTTTGAGAACACCCTCATCCTGGTGGAGAAAGATAATAAGTGGATATGGCAGGTCCTCTCTGAGGCAATTTGGGGCACATCTTCAAACCCCAGTCCACTCCCACCAGATGACCACACAGCTCTCCTAGCAAGGCCAGTCTTCAGTTCATCAATACAGAATAGGTCAGGGCAGGTCAAACCACCAAAGCGCTCCTTTTCTCTTGCTGCTCTGATCCAGGATGCCCAAGAATGGACCAGAAGAACTTCTCCAACCCCAGGCTCTGGCTGAGGCCCAGAGATCTCCCTCTAGGCCCTCCCTGGGAGGCTCCCCTCCCCCTGCTGCAAAGGTTTTTGGTTTTACCACAATAGGAAGTAGGGTTTGTTCTCATACTGGGGAGTAGAGCCGAGCCTTTGTTCCTGATTAGGGTGGTAAATGGGGGGATTCCTTTGATCAGGATAGAGGAGAGATACACAAATACCTAAGAGTAATCTGGGACTCTCCCACTTTCCCATCAACCCAGTAACCAACAACCTAGGAAATTGGGAATTAAGATCAGATTCAGTACCCTCCCTCTTAAGCTTCTCCCATACAAGCCTATGAGAAGTACCATGCTAGGTCCTGGCTGTTCTAGGACTGCTCTGCCCACCTTCCAATCCATCAACAAGAGACAAGAAGTGTCTCCTTACGTCCCCAAGAAGCAACTCTGAACAGGGTCAGACAATCCAACATGACCAGAGGAGGGCTAAAACAGCCCAAATCTGACGGCCCAAACTGGCTGCCCCAGCACCTGCCAGCAGAGCCATAGTCAGGCCAGGATCAGACACCGGGCACACTCACCGAGTCCCGCCGGGGGCCAGAGCCAGGGCCCGGGGCAGGCAGTGAGATCTGGCTCATCCTGGACCGCTGCTTCCTGGGCAGCCAGGGGAGCAGGCCCCAAAGCCGCAGACGGGGCGGCTTGGGATCCTGCTCCATCCGCCCGGCAGGGCTGTGGCACCATGGCAGGAGCAGGCAGCGTCCGGGGCTGCCGCGGAGGTGGCCGGGTGCAAGGCGGATGTGCAGGGTAAGGCTGGGGGCTGGGCCTGGCCCAGGACCGCCAATCACTCAGGGCCTGTGGTTTCCCAGCTCCAGGCCTACACCCTCACCACCATCCCTTCCTCACCCCCTCACCAGTGCCTGAGGACTAGCCCCCGGCCTTCCCCACAGCCTCTGTGTAGGACGTGTAGAGGGACAGCCCCATGCCAGTCCAGCTGCTGAGGAGCAGATAAGAGTCTATGAGGTGGAGGTGAAGACAGGCAGTCATGAGATGGAGGTGGAGACAGGAGCTCAATGCCACATGGAAAGAGATAAAGGAAGATACCTCATATGCAGAAGCAGGTAACCCAAGAGGTGAAGACAGATAAATACAGACAATCAACAGGGAGGGCAGGAAGGAACACATACCAACAAGGCAGAGATGGACCAGAACATTCACCCAAAAGGCAAAGACAGGGGGCTCATGCCCAACAGAAGGAGACAGGAAGAAAGAACATACCCAACAGGCAGAGGTGGACCAGGACACAGACCCAACAGGCAGAGACAGAAGGAAGTGTGTCCAGAGGCAGATGGGGACATGTGCTTAACAGGCAGAGACAGATAGGGGCATGTAGCCAAGAAGGAGAGACGGATGGGAACTCATCCCCAACAGGTAGAGGCAGATGGGGACTCATACCCAACAGGGAGATGGATAGGGACACATACTCAACAGGCAGAGGCAGATAAAGACTTGTACCCAACAGATGGGGCCAGACAGGGACTTGTACCTAAGAGGCAGAGGCAGATATAAACATGTACCCAGCAGGCAAATGTAGACAGGGACGTACACTCAACAGGCAGAGACAGAGAAGTTCCTGTAGCCAACAAGGCAGAGGCAGAAGGGGATACAAGCCCAGCAAGAAGAGACAGATGGGGACATGTAGCCAATAGGTGAAGCCAGGTGGAGACAGAGACAGAAACTCAAGAGAAGAACCTGGTGGGTAGCAGACAGGGACAGCCCACGAGTAAGAGGCCCAAGGAGACTGTCAGATGCTTAGAGCAAATGGAATATAACAGCCAGCAGACAGGTAGCAGGGTAGGGATTCTCAGGAAAAGGGGCCATGTCCAGGGCTAGAGGGCTCAACTCCGGGTTTTGTTGGTCAGCCTAGGGTGCAGAAGGTAGTGAGGTAGGGTTACCATCCCACAGGACTCAGCAGAACAGCCCAGTCAGTATACATAGCAGACTCATGCCTGGGGTTTTCATTTCCTCTGATTTTCTTCCCAGCCCAGGCTCTGTGGAGAGCCAGGACAAACAGAGTGGTCTAAGAGGCCATCTCCTCAGTTATTAAAGGTGACTCTGACCCAAAATATCCCGAGTCATTATCTCCATTTTGAGAATGAGAAACTGAGTCCCAGAGAAGGACTCACAGGCTCAAAAGAAGGCAGGCAGCAAAGCCAGCTTGAGCTCAAGTCCCTCCCCTGGTTACTGGCCTTGAGTGCCAGGAAAGGGTGGGCAGGTAAGTCAGCCAGAGCCACTTCCTGCCCACCCCAGCCCGCCCCCACCCTCAGCACCAGGGTCAGCCTGGGGACTTCCCACTGTAGGTCTTGACCCTCAGAGACACAGCCCCATCTTTAGGGGATAGGGGAGTGGGGGCCGCAGCTACAGAAAGCTGCTGGCTAATTGGATCCCTGAGTGTAAGCCCCCGGAGGAACAGGGAGGAAGTTTGGCTCAGAGAGGGGCAGGGGTAGGCCAAGGAAACACAGGACCCCCGCCCCCCGCGCCCCGTTTCCTGATTCTAAGATCTGAGCCTCCATCTCACTCATCCAATGGTGACCGAGGCAGCCACCCAGAAACCCCAGGGGATAGAGCTACCCTCAAACGGATTCCTTGCCCACAGCTGTTGTGACAGACAACGTTGGAGGCAGGCCACCTCTCTGCTCACCTTTCTGGGACAAAGGACTACATCTCTCTCAAGTCTGGGGAAGTCTGCTGGGGTCTGCATGGTGGGGCTCCAGCCAGTGGCCAGAGGGCCCCGTTACTCCCCTTATACTTCTGCTTTTTTTAGCCTTCTCAGCCCAGAAGGCAGGGTCCCTGACCCCCCTCCTTCTTACTTCCCCTCTGAGGGAGGAGGGACAGAAGATGGTCAGGATCCTTGCTGAGGACAGAATACTGCAGATCCCAAAGAGGACAGAGATGCACCCTCCTGTCTCCCCTCATCCTGAAAAGGGGGAGACAGGGACGCAGGCAGAATCACACAGAGATGATGCAGGAGCATAGTGGACAGGCTGGTATCCACCTGAGGGGTTCTGAAAAAATGGAGACAATAAGGAGACAGCCTCAAACTGCCAGGCCCAGAGCTTAGGTGCAACTCCCTAAAATACTCCTATCCCTAGCAACCTTCCCAAGGGTGGTCCCATCTGAAATGCTAGTCCACAGAGTCCCTACTCTAAGGTTCCATACTCTGAGTCCTGTCCTGAAGAAGCCTGCCAGGCCAAGGCCAGTGAATAGAGTAACAGTCCTTAGACAAGGAGTCTGGGTGTCCACTGGTGAGTCCAACACAAAAGACTGGATGGAGGAGCAGGTGGCTGTGGGACAGGAGCTGCCCAGGCCCCACCCTTTCCATGTTGCCCCACCTTCTTGCTCACACAAGGATACCCACAGGATCTCTCTCTCTCTCTCTCTCTCTCACATACACACACACACACACACACACACACACACACACACACACACACTGATAGGAAACTATTTCCACAGACATCCCCTATGTGGAAATCCACGCCCCCATGTACACACAGACTGACTTCCCCTTCCTGGCCCGTACAGGGCCTCCAACAACAGCGGCTGATGGGTGGTGTCCCCTTCGCTGACACTGCTCATTGCTACCCAGATTCCTCACATAGGGGCTTGGGACTGGGGCAGACTTGGGCACCCCAGAGCGTTCTGGTCTAGCAACAGAGGAGAGGCCAGTGCCAACTTTGTCCCCCCACCCCCAGCTCACCTCCCAGAAGCAGAGGAAGAACCTCTAAGGCCAGCAGGGAACAGGAATGGGCAACAGGAAGGAAACAGTCTTAGAAGCGCTGTCACAGAGGGGTTTTTGGAGGACTGTGTGGACTCTGGTGATGGGAGGGGGAGGTAGGCACCAGCTCACATCCCCCTGCTCCCTGCCCCTTTCTCCCCCATAGACACTTCCTCTTTATTTACTTCCTCCTATACAGAAACTTTACGAGACTGCAGCCCCCCAGCCTGATCTCTGGCCCCCAAAGGCTCCTCTGGGCCTTCCTCTTCCAGCTGCACCTCAAGTCCACCTGCCTGCCCATCCTAACTGCCACCAGCAGCCCCTTCCGCAGCTGGCAGATCTGCAGGGCCTCCCAGGCATTATGCCCTCTGGTGGAACAGATGTTCCTAGATTCATTTCCCAGCATGCCTCTGGGCAGCTGAGGTGAGATTCCTAATTTCCAGGTCTCCTTGAGAAAGGAGTTGGGTCTCAGGCATTAGGCCAAAATTAATGTGCAGTAATGATGAGAGTTGTACCTCTTATTAATTGAGCAGTTATAGCATGCTGCATTTTTTCCTTCTACCTTTGCCGCTGTGGATCCTGCTAGACCTTGTGCTTACTGCTAGCATTGGATTGAAGATCCTAGGCCTTAGTAACAAGGGATACATTATCATTCCCATTTTAAAGACAAGGACACTAGACTCAGAGACAGTGACTTGCACAAGGCCACATGGCTAGGGAGACTGCTAAGGGAAATTTCTGTCTGTTTGCTTACAAAGTTTCTGCTTTTAAGCATTTCATTATCACCCTTCCAACAAGGCCAGCCAGCCTGCCTCCCCTCTGCACATCATTCACACGTTAGCCCCTTCTCTATCTCAGTCTACAGCAGAACACCAGAAGGCACACCTTGTCCTCAGAGTCCCCTTAAAGAAATACCATTTGCTGTTGAGTCAATTCTAATTCATAGCAAACCCATGTATGTTAAGAATAGCACTGTGCTCCACAGGAATTTCAATGGCTGGTTTTTCAGAAATAAGTCTCCAGGCCTTTCTTCCAAGTGACTTTAAATGGACTCAAACCATCAGCCTTTTAGCTGGCAGCCAAACATGCTAAGCATTTGTACCACCCAGGAACTCCCCTAAAGTAAATACATTATAATAAAACACAACTGTCGTATGTCAGAACTGCAATCAAGGCGCTATGGGTGTACTGGGGAAGCATATATGAGCAAGTTCTGCAAAGACCTTCAGAGACAAGCAGGCCAATTGAGGCCTGAGGATGAGTAGGTGCTGACCAGAAGAAAACACTCCAAGTAGAAAGACCAGTTGAGGTCGAGGGGTCAGGGTGAAGGATAGGAAGCCAAGAAGAGCTCCTCTGCAGGATAACAGTTAAAAGTACAGGGTCCACTCTCAGAAAGCTGTTTCTAGAAGCAAACTGGGCCACAGAGACAAAGGGGCATTGTAAACAGAGCCTCTCCCTAGTTTAGCTGGCCAGTCTTACTGCTGTGGGATCTCCCTGGGGCAGACCACAGGGTCAGAGCCCAGCCCCAAGATCCCAGGCGCTAGGAAGGTGGGCTCAATCTGCCTTGGCCAGTCCAGGCAAAGTCCCCTCAACACCTGAGGCTGCCTGAGGCTCCCCAAAGTCCACAGTCACATCCTGCCTGAGCTCAGGCCAGGGCAGAATGAGGAATCCGGGAGGGATCAGGGTTTCATAAACAGGAAGAGAGGAGGGGAGGGGGGAGACACTCAGCTCTCAAAATAGACCTGCAAGCATTTCAAAGGGGTCCAGCTCCAGAGACAACTGAGGGAGGGGGCCCGGGGTGTCCAGTCCAACCCCCTGGAAGGTGGATGCAGCCCCAGAGTGCCTGAGGCTATCAGGTGTGCTGAAGGTGCTGAATGATCCTCAGAACTTTCAGCCTGGAGTCCACACACTATTGCTGCTAAAACCCAAATGAATAAAACAAAAAAGTACTGAATACCTACACGGTACACCAACTCTGTAGCATGCTTTCTTTTGCATGCATCAGTCTCTCCTCAGTTGGCCCTGAAAGGTGAGCTCCTGCAGGAAGAATCTGAGTCTCAGAAACACCAGTCACACACTTAATGTCACAAAGCAAACAAGAAACAGGCAGGATTTAAACTCAGGATGCCTAACTCTCAAGTCTCCCTCCCTGCCACTACTCTACCTGAAGGCCCCATCCCAGATCCTATCTGTCTTTCAAGGCCCATTAAATGCCATCTCTGCAGTGAAGGTAGTGTGATACCCCGTAGCCCACCCCAACTCTGCTTATAAGTGACTGTCTGTTGGACCATACTCAGTCCCATGCTCAGATACCCCAGGTATGTTTGTTTCATCATACTACTGTGAGGGAGGTACACTTGGAGTGCACACGCTATGTTCTAGGCCTCAGAGCCCAGTATGGGCTTGGTATGGAATGAAGGTTCTATGGGCCCAGTAGTCATGTTCTTCCCAAAAAGAGCACCATCACACAGCTCTTATCCCCAAGACTGGTAGTTTCTCTAAGAGTAGTGTGTATTGACTACATTCTGGAGTCTCCCAGTGCCACAAAAGTGTGCACTTAACGTCTGATGGACCAAAGGATAATCTGGCTAGTGGCCAGCTCCGTTCCTGAGTCTAACCACAGGCTGGGCGCCCCCTGGTGTACTGAGCCTAGAACTGAGCTCTGAGGACACTGGGGGCCTATGGTGCCACAGGGGTCCACAAGAACCAACCACTTCTCCTTTCCAGCATTCAAGGTGCCCTGAGCTAAGAGGAATAGGAGTTCTGAGGCCAAGCAAATCTGTGTTCAAGTTCTATTATCACTTGCTATGTGACCCTGGGCCTCAATTTTCTCATCTGTAAAGTGGGGATAATAATAATCTCAACCCCTGAGGAATGGTAGGTATCTGGTGATACAATGATTAAATGCTCAGCTGCTAATGGAAAGGCTGGTGGTTTGAATCCAACCAGGCCCAATAAGAGAAAGACCTAGTGATATGCTCCCATAAAGGTTACAGCCTAAAAAAACCCTATCAGGGCAGTTTAGTTCTGTCACACAGGACCCCTTTGAGTTGATACAGACTCAACAGCACCTAATAACATTAATCGCACCTCTGAGATTGTAAGAATTATATGCAGAGCTCCTGGGGCAGTGCATGGGTTAAACTTACTCTCTTCTTTAATGTAGCATTCAAGGCTCTCTATATCCCATCCATCCCTAGCCTTCTCTCATTTCAGGACCTTCAACTCTAGACAAATGTCACAGACTTGAGACCAAATGCAAGTTACCTGTCTGAGTCAAGTTTTCACTCTTCTCCCAATCAGCCCTTCTGTTGTCACTGTGTGCTGTCGAGTCGGAACCAACCCATTGGTGACTCTACAGTGGGTTTTCAGGGGAAGTAAATCGCACAGGAAGAGACTGCCCTTTCTTTCCTGGAATCAGCCCCTCTAGCTCTCAATATTAGAAGCTGTGCTTAACACAGGCTCCCCAAAAGCATCAAGCTCCTCTACAAACCCCAGAACCTCAACCCAACGACCTGATCATCCTAGTTCTCTATCAGGGAGCTACAGTCCCTTCCTGTTGCTAGGCAACCAGAGAAAGCTAATTTGTGGGTAGATCCTTCAGATATGTGGCCAAGAAAAGACATACAAGGGGCTCAGTCCACATTATTTTCCCTGGCCTCTGTTGGTTCAAGGTTGCCATAGCAACCTACAGAGGCACAGTAGGTGCCCATTTCACTCACCCTGCCCTGCCCCACCTAGCTCTATTTCCTTATCTCAGGTCTGAGTCAAGGCAAACAGCAGTCATGGTTCATCTCAAAGGTCCTATTTATGGCAGGTCCAGTGCCCCAGCAGAGACCCACTTGGAAGATGAGGTGATTGGCAAAGCAATACACTGGGCATTCATGCTTCTCACACTGAAGCCATCCTGGGCCAGGCAAGCACTACCTTCGAAGTACTTCTGTGAGGTAGGCACTACCGTCATCGATTTACAGATGAGTAAATGAAGACCCAGAAGGCAGAAGAGCTTCTAGTCACATGGCAAGGCTGGGGCAAGCAGCCATGCTCTGCCTCTGCCTAAGTGGTTTTCAGAGCCTCTCCACACTCAATACCTCCTGTGGCTCAGAGCCACCCCATGAACTGGGTATGGTCCTTTCCCAGAGAGGACAAGACACTCACTCGAGGTTATACAACTATTAACCCCCTCTGGGCTTTTGGCAACACACAAAACCAACAACAATAGCTAAGGTGCTCACAGGAAGAGACTAGAGGAAATAGAGATAGCAGGGGTTGAGGGAACAAGGGGTGTGAGGCTAGAAGTGGGGAGCCCTGAGAAATGGCTGGGCCCTGGTTAGACTTGAGAAACCACCAGATTCCTTCAAGCATCACCATACATGGATCTTCCATCACTTAATCCCAGCCGCCTCATTCTCACACTGAGCATGAGCAGAATGAACAAATACACCAAGGAAGTGACCTGGCCTGGTTGATAAGTAACCAGCCTGGATTCTGCTCCCAACTCTTTCTGGTCCGCAGTCTCCTCACCTTCAAAATAGGAAGTTGACCAAGTAATCTCTCTACACAGTGTTGTCACAAACATTAAGTGAGATTAGAAAAGGAAGGCTGAGCTGGGCAAGGGGCAAGAAGCACGGACCTTCCACCAGGTGGGACAAGGGCACCTTCTCTCCTCTGAGGCCCTGCAAGCACTCTCCCCTTATGCTGGCCCTGGTCCAGGGCACTCGCCCTGATCCTCACCTTGGATGGCTGAAGTCCAGCTTCTTCCCCTGAGGCCTGGCCATTCTGGAAAAGAGAAGGGAGATAGGGAAAATACTGTCAGAATTTACCAGCTTAGAACAGAAAGACAATGGAGACTAAAAAGGAAGCCAGAGAGGTATAGACAGGAGCTCTTGGGTGGAAGTCTCCTCCACCTCCACTTTTAGGGAAGGGGGAAGCATTGGCTGTTAAGAATCCTCCTTCAATAGTGCCTCACAATTCAGATGAATTTCCCAAGGGCCCAATACTCCCTATCTCACATTCTCTACCTAGTAAATACCTCACCTTTGAAGACTCCACTTAAATATCATCTCTTTCAAGTGAGAAAGAAGAATCATGTGTGACTCTAAGCTCTTTCAGAAACAAACTGTGGCCTTTTGTCAAATTACTCAACCTTAACAGGCCTCAGTTTCTCAATCTGTAATATGGGCGTAATTACATCTCCATCCTGGAGTTGCTACAAGTGTTAAAGGAGACAAAGTATGAAAAGGTGTCCAGTCCAGAGAAGGTGGGTGTGGATTCTTAGGGACCCCTTTCTTGCCTGGGCCAGGCAGAACTACTGCTGCTTCCACTAGATCCTTAGCTCCTGCACCATACGTGTCACACCCCAGGGACTATTTACACACTGGCCTATCCTTCCCAATAAACAGGAGTCCTAGGAAATCAGAGATTAGGGTGTGGTGCTAACAGCTGCCTGCTTCCAAGCCAGCAGGACATGCCAGGCATTGGACTTGGTCTCACACCTGTGGAACCATTTAATCCCCATGACAGCCCTGGGAGGCAGGCCACAGCCCCATTGGAAAGAGAAAGAAACTGAGGCTAAGAGGGATCACACAACTGGCAAACAAGAATTTAAAATCTGGTCTTTTTGGCACCTAGGAGGGGTTCATAATAGGTCTGCTTCAGTGCCAAGGTGGTGTAGTTAATAAACTTAGCTGCTAACTGAGAGGCTGGAAGTTCAAGTCCACCCAGAGGTTCCTCGGAAACAAAAGCTGGTAATCTACTTGCAAAATGTTGGCCACAGAAAACCTTATGGAGCACAGTTTTACTCTGATACATACACCACATGCTGTTGACATGAGTAGGAAACTGATTTGATGACAACTGATAAATGTCAGAAGTTGAGAAAATGAACACTAGAGAGGATGAGAATTCAAAGAGATCTGCTGAAGAGCACTGCACAATCCAGGCAGGGGAAGGTCCTTCAGGGAGAAATGGGCACTAGAGCCCACCCTCTGATAGTCCTAATTCTTGCTATAACTAGACTTTGTCCTCTGGTGAGCAGTATACCCCCCAGCGTGCACCAAAACCTAGCCCATCCTTTCCTGTGTGATGTGAGGTGAGTAACCTCCCCTCTTCCTCTCTGGGCCTTGGGAAGTTGAAAGGAGTCATCCCCACCCCTCCTGGCATAGCAAGAGTGTAGTGAGGCAGATAAGAGGTGCCCAACAACTGGCAAGTCCCAGCCTGGGGCAGGTCAGGAATTTGGAGCCAGGATCTGGGTCCACAGGGCAGCTGTACCCTGGCTTGGCAGCAGCAGGCACAGCTGTGCTCTGTCCATTACATAATCTCCTTGCCTCTGGCACAGCTCCTCTGCCACTCCCAGGACATCCTGCCCCCTGAGCCCCCGGAATGCCTCCTAATCCTCCCCAGGGGCCAAGTGTTCTTCAGGCCCCTCACACACATACATACGCATACCACCCTCTCTCAGTAGCTGCCTGAGGAGCTGGAAAGGGTTGATCAGGGCCTGAAGGGATTACACACTTGCAGAATGAATTCTACCATAAAGGATCAAAATATTTCTGATCACACCAGCCTCCCATTCCAAACCGTTATCATTCTTTTTTTTTTTAACTTTTTTTAAATTTAATTTTTTCTTCTTTTTTTTTCTTACCCTCATCATTCTTAACACTTAATCTTGCACTCGGTGCACCTGGCCACTCATTCATTCAAGCAATATTTATTGAGGACCTTCTATGGACCAGGCTCCAAACCTTTGCAGGTTCCCCACTGCCTACAAACTATTGCAGCCCCTTAGAATAGCATTCAAGGCGGTCATCTCCAGGTGCCTAGCATGGTTACTAAATATGTGAGTTCTGGAATCTAATCTTAGATTCAAATTCTGGGTTTTATCACTTGCATGACCCCAAGGTTACTTTCCTTCTCAGAATTTCAGTTTCTTCATCTGTGAAATGGGGAGAAAAGATAAAAGTGGCATACCACAAAGGGGGAGGGGTGCCATGAACAAATAAAACAAGTTCTGTTAGTATTTACACTAATAAGATGTGGTCTAAAACTGCCCCAAAAACAAAAGAGGTTATTAGCATCAGGTCCTAGTTCTGTCCTCCACCACCTGTCAGTCAGTTTGTGGTACTTTGATAGCTTTCACATTGCTAGGATGCTATGCTGCTATGCTGCTGAAAACTGCCGCTGGGATTTAAAATACCAGCAGGGTTACGAAGGACAGGTTTCAGCAACGCTTCCAGGCTAAGAAGGCTTGGCAACCGGCTTCCAAAAAACCATACGAATCACAACAGAACATTGTCCAACAAACTGGCTTTGGATCATACTGGAGGAGGACATCATATTTGATGAAGTAGAGGCAAGGGAAAAGCTTGGTGAGGTGATTGGCACAATAGCTGCAAAGATGGCTTCAGCTTCAAAGATGCCGGTAATCATGAGGATGACACAGGATGAGGTGCTATTTCATTCTCTTGTACATGAGATGGCCATGAGTCAGAGTCAACACCACAGCAGCAATCTATTCTTCAGCTAAACCAAACCAGCTGAGACCCTGAGCAAACTAGCTGGTCTCACATTCCAGAGCACTTGCACAATGGCTCCCTCCACCAAGAAAACCTTGGTGCTTTGTCACTGTAGGCAACACCTTGACTTTCAGGGCTCAACTCAAATGTCACCTCTTCTGACCACATAGCCTTGAGTGCTCTCCGCCCTGTTCTGTGTCCCAACAGCAATGAACCCACTGTGGCTAATCCAGGGAAGGGGCCATGGCTTGCCCATCACCCTCTCCAGAAAACAAAAGGAGCCATTGGTTTTCAAATATAAGTCAAATCCAGGAAGGAGGCTAGAGTAGGGTCTATTACTCCCATTTTCCAGACGTGGATTGCAAAGTTAAGGAACTCACCAAAGGTCCCTCAGCAAACAAGTGACAGACATGGGCCATAACCCAAGTCATGTGGTTGCAAGTCTTAATCTCTGAGGGGGGAAAGGAGAAGACAGGGGTACCCAAAGGGTAGGACTAGTGCTTCCATACTGGATGACTCAGGTGGCACTACAGGCCCAGCGGGGCCCAAATCCACTACTTGGGCAGTCTTCATGGAACCCTACCTTACTTGTCAAAAGTGATACACAAGGTCTCTCTCTAAAGCAGAATTGCAAGCCCTGGAGAAAGGACTTTCAGCGTAAAGAGGACCTCAGGTGAGCTTCCCTGCATCCAAGGTCCTGGGAATGCAGGGCTCCTATGCCTCTCAGATCTAGTAGCTGCTGTATAAGGCAGTAAGAACATCTCTGCAACCACAAAGACAAGGCCATCATTCCTAACTCTGTCTGCCATCACTACGATCCTGAGTCACTTCACTTAGGCTTCATTTCCTCAACTGCACTATGAAGTCAGTAGTTCTGGTGGCTTAGTGGTAAAGAATTGCACTGTCAAACCAAATGCATACAGTTTGAATCCCCCAACTGTTCCATGGCAGAAAGAGAGAAAATCTCCTCCAATGCTATCAAACTGCCTCTGAAAACTCACTAGAGGGTCAGTTATGAGTTGGTTCCAACTCAATAGTACCTAACAACAAAAATAACTATGACAGCAAAGATGTAAGCGTCTGGTGTTCACCGCTACAGCTCTGTGGCCTACGATGGTTCCTGGCACATGATAACCCCTCAGTAAATATTGAATGAATGAATGAAAGGGGACAATGACGCTAACTCTGCAGAATACTGAATGAAGGTTCAGGAAAGGGTCTTCTTGGTCTCTTGAAGTTTCTTTCCTGCATTTCTCCCGATCTTAGTGCCCTTTCCCAAAAGTCAGAGGTAAATTCCATTAGGCTCATTTCCTTCTTAGCAGCAGATCTGCCTTGGGAAGAGGTAGCCAGAGTAGTGCTGGGTGAAGCTGGGCAGCAGATGGAGAAGGACAGCACGTGCCCCGCAGGCAGGAAGCAGCCTCAGTCAGGAGTTGGGTTCATAGCCCAGCACTGGCAGCCCTGTGCCCTGCTGGAGACCGGGGGCCAAATGCCAGGGCTGGCTGGCACTGCCAGCACCTCGGCTGTGGCTGGACCCAGGCCCTCCAGGTTAGGAGAATCTGCCAACTTCCGGAGCCACTCTTGCAATACTTTTTACCTGGACCAGTTTGACCCCAGCCCTTCTCCATCCTTAAGCCATCCTCAGTTGATGGAAGACACTGGGAGATCTGGATTCCAATCCTGATTCTAACATTAAACAATAAGCCAGTTCTGCTCTCTGAGTTCACATGTTTTATTTGCAAATTAGGGTAAAAATCCTATCTTGAAAACTTGTAAGACTAAAAGTGACACAGGTGAAGCAGGATTGTTGGTATGTAGCAAAGCTCTGTACATGGCAAGGCTGGGCTTGGAGACAAAGTTACTGCCTTCAATAGAGTCAAGGAAGGTCCAGGTAGACTCCTCACCTACATTTGCAATGGTTTACTCCACTTGGGTCACACCCTGGGCCAGGCCCTGCCTCCCAGCAGCCCATTTTCGGCAGCGTCATGGGAAGGGCAGCCCAGATCCCAGGCCTTCTGCCAAATACTCCTGCTAGTTCCTCACCTTTCTCCTTCCCAGCCAGAAGCAGCCAGGAGCCGGAGGCAGCGCCTGTACCTGCAGGTCAGGTCGCTGTATCATTTACATGTCACCTGGACTAAGAACAGCGAGGCCCTGTTCTCTAGTGAGAACAGCCCAACCCTCGCTCTGGCTGCCCCATGGCTCCTGTTACCCAAACAATAACACCCAGTCGCCTGGCACCTCCACGGGGAGGGGGATGAGGTAGAGAAGCAGTCTTGCTGGGGGCCCTGCACCCCTCTCAGTCCCAGGAAGCAGACACCGGAACCCAGCTCACAGCTCTGGAGAAATAGAAACCCAGAGAGGCTGAGGATTCACTAAGGGTCACACAGCATTTCCAAGATGAAGTTCCCAAAAAAAGCATGGCTCCCAATCCTAGGGAATAAGCTGATCTGCTTTCATAGAATTCAGGTGTTGTAGAACTAAAATTTAAACCTAGCACCCTGGTGAGACTGGCCCTTGCCTTAGGATTCCTAAGGGGAAGCAGGAAGTGGTGCCCTAGGCTGTCTCCCTCCACCAGCATAACCCAAGGGAAGTCTTTGGGTTAAGTCCCTCTTGACTTCTCCTAGCTCATGCGTCTCCAGGGAAGCCTATGTCACAGAAGTATGCCTGAGCAAAAGAATCCAGCTCTGAGTGTCACCTACCCTAGGTCCCTGCACCCACAGACCAACAGCAGGGAAGGTGTGGGGGAGACAGGGGCTGCAGAGGGCAGTGTTCCTCATCCCGGAGGGTGAGTCAGCGAGAGAACCTCCGAGCAGCCAGTGCAGGGCCTGTAAAAACCCCGTGGCAGGCATCCCAGAGCAATTTACTCCAAATTGCGCCTTCAGGTTGGTTACCTAATTCTACCTTGACCAACCCTCCAATCTCCTGTCAGCCATCCGTTTAAAGGGGAAGGAGACCCTGCGTGTGGCAAGTATTAGGTCCTCACTCTGACCCCCTGAGAACCAGGGCAAAAGGACCCACCCCAGGTAAGAGAGGACAGAGAAACATCATCTGAGCTGATACTGAGCCCAGGTTTTCACATTCTTTCTTACACACTGGCTTCAGGATTCTTGGAATAGGGACCTGCCTTCCAACTAGAATGAGGCTGAGGGAAAAGTTTCCAACCTGAAAATTTAAGGACTTGACCTTGACCCTGGGGATCAAAGGACACAGGGCCTGGTACCACAGTCTCCTTAGAGGAAGAGCTTCTGGGGGGCTGGGGGGATTCTGCAGGCAGAGGCCCAACTCCTCAAGGCCCAGCCATATCTGTATAAGGGAGACAGGTACAAGGGTCCTTCCTCTCACCCTCTAGCCCCCTTTCCAATGTTTAGGGTTGTTCTCTTCACTCCTTCCTCTACAGCCTGGGCTACAGAACTCAGCTGTCCTCTGGTCCTAGCCTCAGGCATAGAAAGCGAGGTGTCCTCGTCCCAGACTGGCTGTGTCACCCTACATTCCTCAACTGCAATCCTTCCAGAGTCAGTAGCAGAGACGCATGAGCAGTGGGAGACGTCAAGGAGAAATGAAGACCCCGTAACTTGTCCCTGATAGAATCCCAGACATCTTTTTGTGCTGAAGAAAGAAGGCTCAACAGATCCGGATGGATCCCCTGCACGGGTGGGTCCAAGGTGTGTAAGGTGAAGGGGACCCGATCTCAGCACCTCACAGAAGTCCTCATCCTAGCTAGATGATGAGTTGGTGTTGGTCGAAACTGCCCCTCACGCGCACACGCGTGCTCGCATGCACACACACACACACACACACACACACGGCACAGGGAGTGTGCGTATATACACACACGGCATGGTGGTGTAGAACAGGAGAGTAAGCAAGAGATCGCAGGGCACTTGCGCCCTCGAGGGCGCCAGCCGGGCTGCAGCAGCGTCGCGGACTGCCCCGCCCCAGTGCGGACCCGGGCTCGCCGGCGGCCGGCGCTAGTCCCCCGCCCCGCTCACTCACCTCCGGATCCAGCGGCACCAGTTCCATGAGCGGCCAGGGCTCCTGGAGCTGGGCGAGCGGCATCGCGCCGCCGCCCGGCCGCCCACACGCCTCCTGCGGCCTCGGCTGGGCCGCTCCTCAATCCCCGAGTCCCCAGCTCCGCGTGCCCGCAACCTCACGCCCCCCGCGCCCCCCGCACTCGGACTGAGACGTCCGCCACCGCTGCCGCCGCCGCCGCGGCACTAGCACTTCAGCTCTTCTCGTCACCCGGCGCCGCCGCGCCCATTGGCTACCTGCGTAAGGGGCGGGGCCGCAGAAGCCCCGCCCCAGCCCCCGCGGCGCGGCATTCCCGGCGCGGACCCCCGCCCCCGCTGCTCGGCCAGCTCCCGCCCCGCCTGCTCCAGGAGCCCCGGTCCGGTGCGCTGCTCCGCCCAGAAGTCCTCGTGGCTCCTCCCTCCCAAGCCTTGTTCCCTTGCTCCGTGCCGGCCCAGGTTGGGGCTGGCCGATCTCACCCTCCAAATTAATTTAAAAATCACTCCCTAGACGATATTTCAGTAGAAGGGAAGCCTCTCTTTCCTCTCTTACCCCAACCCCTTAGAATGTCCTGGTTCGGTCTCCTCAGACCCTCCTCTCGCGACCTTGGCATCTCTCTAACCTCTACTGGTTTCTGTCCAGAGGGAACATGAATGTGAAACTCTCCCTAGGTCTCTGTGCCCAAGTCAACTGACTCCCAACTCTTTTGTAACCACCAGCAAGATCCACAAGACCCCAGAGAGACTGCTTAATACAGATTTTTTTTTTGTAATTTATTTTTGTGTATTTTCACTTGACGAGGCTCCTTTCAATTTAGACTCCCCTGAAATTTCTCCAGTTGCCCGCCCAGCTCAGGGCTAATTTGGGTTTCTGCCTTCTCTAAGGAGTATAGGGACCAGAGTCCCAGGATCCACCTGCATATGGTAAGGTGATGATTTGAACCTGTATTACAGCCTTGGTCTGAAGAGGTCTTACAGGTCCAGTGTAGTGAGGTTTATTCATAGAGGGAGTGGGAGAGGGTTTACTGGTTTCATGGATGTTGAAAACTGGCCATTTACTTACAAAGCTGTTTGTTCTAAAGCTGAGGAATGGAGGAGATACTTACAAAAGCCTCCTGCAAGCCTGGCTCTGCCAACATGTGATTACCTTGAATCTTAACCAAATCTTGAAACAGAGGCTCAGAAAGATGAAAAGATTTACCCAACGTCAGACACCTGGTCAAGAACAGGCTAAGTATTAAAAACTTAAAATGAGTGAATTGGGTTTTGGTTGTTTATTTGTTTGTTTTTCTGATTTCAAATGATCTTCTCACTCTGTCCATTTTCCAGGCCCTCAGAAGCTCTGGTGGCTTAGTGGTAAGGAATTTCTCTGCCCACCCAAAGACACACAGTTCGAACCTATCAGTTGCTTTGTAGGAGACAGATGGGCAATCTCCAGTACAATAATTGCCTCTGAAAACCCTCTGGAGGGTCAGCTATCTGTTGGTTTGGACTTGATGATTATGTTGTTGTTATGTGTTGTCTAGACGCACCCTACCCCGAGCCGGTCTCACGGTCTTTGACACACCTACCCCCATTACTTGATAATACCCAACAACAACAGTCTAGACCCTCAGCGTTGATCTAAACTGAGTTTTGAATTGGAAGGACTTTGGATCTCAACAAATCTGTAAGTTTTTATAGTCGCAGCTTGCCTCATCTTTGGATCTTTGTATCACAACAAATTTGAGTTTTGGAACATTCTATTTCTCTAAATCTCAGCTACCTTTCTGTGAAATAGAAGTAATAATGCTGACTTTTCTGAGATCTAGCAAAAATTAAATTCATTAAGTATCTATGGGCTGTATCAGTTATAATGTCAAGCTCTCTTTGGTAAGCCAAGGCTTCCAGATGCTGGAGATAGATACACAGTGATCAACAAAATAAAGTCCTTGCTTGCATGCATGATGGTGAAAAGAAAGAACCATAGCTAGAAATAACATACCTGTTATTATGGGCCAAACATTGTTCTAAGCATTCTCACACACACTCTCTCAGATAGCTAGATAGATGATGAATACATAGATAGATAGATAGATAGATAGATAGATAGATAGATGATAGATAGATTGATAGATTGTTGTTGTTGTTGTTAAGTGCCATCGAGTCGCAGGCTATTCATAAGGACCCTATGAAAGAGAGTCCTCAATGCTAGGGTGTCTCTCAGGATATCCTCTCTCCAGGTTCATAGGGTTTCCAGAGGCAAGCTATTACGGAAGTGGATGCCGCTCCTGCTTCCAAGCTTGTTTTAATCAAGGAGCTCCACCCCACTCTCTGTCCACATTGGGTAACCAGCCATTAATGCATTTGACACATCAGTGCCACAGTGTTCAGCCTCACAGCAACCACAAGTTACCACTGTACGGCAACTTGTACACCAAGGCTATAGGACCTAGAGGAATGTCTGAACAAAAACAATGAAAGACAGGCCCAAGGGCTGCAGATTAAAAGTCACCCACCTTTGGCTCCGTAGCACTGCCTTCTGTCCACTGGGCCAGCTGATCTCTCTCTCTATGTTGATGTTATTGTTGTTAAGTGCTGTCAAGTCGCAGGCGACTCATAGCGACGCTATAAAGGAGAGTTATTTACTGCAGAACCAACCCATAGCTGACCCTCCAGTGAGTTTTGAGAAGCAGTTAATCACATGGGAGGAGATTGCCCATCCTTCTTCCACAAAGCAAGCAGCTGGTGGCCTCAAACAGCATCACTTCATGAGTATAACACAGCTTCTTGCCAATAGTTGTAGTAGTTGTTGTTCTGTATCATAAAGTTGGAACCGACGTATAGCTGACCCTCCAGCAAGTTTTCAGAGGATTGCTGATCCTTCTCCCACAGAGCAGCTGGTGGTCTAAAACCATGTCTCTGACACACCTACCCCCATCACCCAAGTCACAATCCATCTTATGCAGGGTCTTCATCTCTTGCGCTGTTCCTCCACACTCCCTAGCATGATGTCCCTCTCCAAGGAATGATCCCTCCTTTCAACATGTCCAAAGTATGTCAGACAGAGCTTCAGAATCTTTGCCTCCAAGAAGCAGCCTGGTTTTACCCTCTCCAGAATAAACATGTTTGTTCTTCTAGCAGTCTATGGAATATTCAATAATCTTCTTCAGCACCACAGCTCAAAGATATCAATTCTCCTTCTATCATCCTTAGTCATTGTCCAGCTTTCTGATGTATAGCACATAATTGCAAAGACCATGGCCTGGATCAGGTGCACTTTAGTCTCCAAACTGACATCATCACTCTTCAATACTCTGGAGATGCCGCAGACTTTCCCAATGCAATTCGTCTTTTGATTTCCTGGCTACTGGTACCAAGAGTGTTGATTGTGGAGCCAAGCAACTAAAGCTGCTCACTATCTCTGTCTCTTCACCATCGATCACGATGCTGTCAATCAGTGAAAATCTTTGTTTTCTTGATGTTGAGCTTCAACCCATATTTAAGGCTGCTGTCCTTGACCAGAATTCTGCAGCAAGCAATGTTGTTTTATCTACATATCCTAGGTTGTTGATGAATCTTCCTCCAATCCTGATGCCACTTTCCTGCTCATACAGCTGTCTCCTGGATGATCTGTTCTGATAGGATGCATCCCTGGTGTACACCCTTCCCAATTCTGAACAATGCATTGTCTCCTTGCTTTGTTCTGACGATTGCATCCTGGCCCAAGTATAAGTTTCACATTAAGAACAATCAAGTGGGATTCCCATTCTTCTCAGAGTCAACCACAATTTGTTGTGATCTACACAGTCAAATGCCTTCTCATAGTCAATGAAACATCATATATATATATATATATATTCATTTAATCCACACAACAAACTTATAGCTAGGTGCTCCAACGGATAGATGAGGAACCCAAAGTTAAGTATCTCCTTCTTTGGGTCCCAGGGACCCTCCTGTGTAACAGAGCTAGACAGTAGCAGATATAGGAGACAACTCTGGCAGTCTGACACCAAAGTTCTCTTTCTTGTTCACTTACTTTTCACCTTCTTGGTGCGTGAAGATGAGAAAACTGAAAGCAGTCCTGGACCCGAGAAGGCAATGTTATTAACTTCCAGGTCAGTCACCTAGAAGCAGTTCCTGCTCCCCAATTCCTGCTGCTCATGTTTAAAGTTGCAGTATTTGGGACATACCGTTGAGTCATCCCAACAGGTTCTGTTGAGTTGGTTCTGACACACAGTACAACAGAATTAAACACTGCTCATTTCTGTGCTGTCCTCACAATCACTGTCCCTTTTAATTATGTGCAATCTATTATATATTAATTTTATAACATTAAAGCTGTTTTTGAAAACCATGTGGAGTTACCACTGAACACCATTGTTGCTGTTAGGTGCCTTTGAGTTGGTTCCAATTCACAATAACTTCTACGTACAACAGAATGAAATAATGCCCAGTTATACGCCCTCCTCAAAATCACTATGCTTTGAGCCCACTATTGCAGCCACTGTGTCAATCCACCTCTTGGAAGATGGATTTTCCCCCCTCTGACTTTACCAAACGTAGTGTCTTTTTCCAAGGACCCTTCCTGATAACGTATGAGAAAAGTCTAAAGTCTGTGAGACAAGTCCTGCCATCTGGGCTCCTAAGAAGCATTCTGGCTGCATTTTCCAAGAAAGATTTGTTTCTTCTTCTAGTAGCCCACTGTATGCTCAACATTCTTCACTAACATCATAATTCAAAGGCATCCCTTCATTCTTCTTCATTGATCACTTTTCACATATCTAGGAGGCGACTGAAAATACTATGGCTGGGGTCAGGCATACCTTAATTTTCAAAATGACATCCTGGCTCTTTGGCATTTTAAAGAAGGCCTTGGAAGTAGAGTTGTCCAATGCAATGCATTGTTTGAGTTCTCGACTACTGATTCTATGGGTGTTGACTGTGGATCTAAATAAAAAAACCAAAAAACCAACTCTTGACAACTTTGATCTTTTTCCATTTGTCATGATGTGTTTACTGGTCTAGTTGTGAGAATTTTTGTTTTCTTGATCTTGAGATATAATCCATAGCTGAGGCTGCAATGTCTGATATCCAATCAATAGAAGCGACAAGTCCTCTTTACTCTCAGTAAGCAAGGTTGTGTCATCTATATTTCACAGGTACCTAGACTAAAAATTTATTTGTTCTTTATCTGAAATTGACATTTATCTGAATTTAAAAACAAATATTTTGTTTACT